CTGGAGGACATCTAGCATCATCAGCCCAACCCCTTTCATTCTCCATCCTGCTCTTCTGGCCCCCCCCCTTACATTTACTGGATTTTAGTTCATAATAACGGGGGCTCGCATCCCATGTGGGCGTTCCCAAAGGGAAGTTTCATGCAAACCCCTCCCACTCCCCTGACACCCCCCCAGCAAGGCTTTTTGTTTTTTGTAATCCTCCCCCCGTTGCAGTACTGAGGCGGGATGCGGGAAATGTTTTCGAGTTTTGTACAGAAAAACCCTCCCGGCCCCCCTCCCAAGCCAAGATCTGCCTGCATTGCATAGGAAGCTAGGACCCGGGGAAAAACATCTGCACATTTTGCATCAGATGAACGGGTTCTGGAATGTGAAGGTCCTCTTTACAGGTCCACAACCTTCTTCCCGTGCGAGCGGTCAGTCCAAAGCGACCCCCAGCTATGGGCCTGGAGGGGAACATTGTGATTCCCCAGCGGTGAGCAAGTCGGGTTGGGCAACAGACCCCATCCCCGGGGCCCCCGTGGTCCTACCTTGAAATTCGTTCCGATGATGATGATCCGGCCGTGACGGCTCCCCCCTTGACGGCCCCGGTCCGGGGACGCCCGCTCCGAAAAATTGTTAGCAGACAGACCAGGTCCCCCTGCAGCCGCCCCAAGCGGCATATCCCTCTCTGGCCCTCAGCCCCGCACTGCCCACTACCCCTTTCGGGGAGAGAGAGGGGACATACGGGGGAAAAAGGGGCCCCGGGGGAGGGGAAGCCCCAAAACCCCCTTCACTCCAACCCTATGGGGGGGGGGGGGGGGGAGGGGGGAGGGAGGGGTAGAGGGAAGAAGGGGAGGGGGGGGGGAGGGAGGGGGGGGGGAGGGGGAGGGGGGGGGGAGGGGGGGGGGGGGAGAGGGGAGAGAGGGGGGGGGGGGGGGGAAAGGGAGGGGGAGGGGAGGGAAAGAGGGGAAGAAAGGGTGGGGGGGAGAAGAGGGGTAGGGGGGTAAGGGAGAGAAGGGGGGAGGGGGAAAGGGGGGGGGAGGAGAGGGGAGGGGGGGGGAGGGGGGGGGGGGGGGGGGGGAGGGGAGGGGGGAGAGGGGGGGGGGGGAGGGAGGGGAGAGGGGGGGGGGGAGAGGGGAGGGAGGGGAAGGGGGGGGGGAAAGGGAGGGGAGAGGGGAGGGGGGGGGAGGGGAAGAGGGGAGGGGGGGGGGAGGGGGGAGGGGGGGGAGGGAGGGGGGGGGGAAAAGGGGGGAGGGGGGGGAGGGGGGGTGAGGGGGGGGGGGGGAGGGGGGGGGGGAGGGGAGGGAGGGGGGAGGGGGGGGGGGAAGGGGGGGGGAGAGGGGAGGGGGGGGAGAGGAGGAGGGGAGGGGGGAGGGGAGGGGAGAGGAGAGGGGGGGGAGGGGGGGAAGGGAGGGAAAGGGGGGGGGGAAAAGGAGAGGGGGAGGGAAGGGAGGGGGGGGAAAGGGCGGGGGAGGGAAGGGAGGGGGGGAAAGGAGAGGGGAGGGAAGGGAGGGGAGGGGGGGGAAGGAGAGGGGAGGGAGGGCGGGGGGGGAAAAGGGGGGAGGGGAGGGAGGGGGGGGGGGGGAGGGGGGAGGGAAGAGGGGAGGGGGGGGAGGGGGAAAGAAGGGAGGGGGGGGGGGGGGGGGAGGGGGGGGGGGGAGAAGGGGGGGGAAGGGGGGGGGGGGAGGGGGGGGGGGAGAGGGGAGGGGGGGGGGGGGAAGAGGGGAGGGGGGAGGGGGGGGGGGGAAAGAGGAGGGGGGAGGGGGGGGGGAGGGGGGGAGGGGGGGGAGGGGGGGGGGGGGGAGGGGGGGAGGGGGAGGGGGGGGGGAGGGGGGGGGGGGGAGAGGGGGGGGAGGGGAGGGGGGGGGGGGGGGGGGAGGGGGGGGGGGGGGGAAGAGGGGAGGGGGGGGGGGGGAGGGGGGGGGGAGAGGGGGGGGGGGGGGGGGGGGGGGGGAGGGAGGGAGAGGGGGGGGAGAGGGGGGGGGGGAGGGAGGGAGGGAGGGGGAGGGGAGGGGGGGGAGGGGGGAGGGAGGGGAGGGGGGGGAGGGGGAGGGGGGGGGGAGGGGGGGGAGGGGGGGGGGGGGGGGGGGGGGGGGGAGGGGAGGGGGGGGGGGGGGAGGGGGAGGGGAGGGAGAGGGGAGGGAGGGAGAGGGGGGGGAGGGGGGGGAGGGAGAGGGAGGGGAGGGGAGAGGGGAGGGGGAGGAGAGGGGAGGGGGGGAGGGGGGGGGAGGGAGGGGGGGAGGGGAGGGGAGGGGAGGGGAGGGGGGGAGGAGGAAAGGGGGGAGAGGGGAGGGGAGGGGGGGAAGGGAAGGAGAGGGGGGGGGGAAAGGGAAGGAACGGGGGAGGGGGGGGAAGGGAGAGAGGGGAGGGGAAGGGGGGAAAAAGGGGGGGGGGAAAGAGGGGGGGGGGAGGGGAGGGGGGAGGGGAGGGGGGGGAGGGGGGGGGGAAAGGGGGGAGGGGGGGGGGGGGGGGGGGGGAGGGGGGAGGGGGAGGGGGGGAGGGGGAGGGGAGGGGGGGGGGGGAGAGGGGGAGGGGGGGGGAGGGGGGGGAAGGGGAGGGGGGGAGGAGGGAGGAGGGGGGGGGGAGGGGGGGAGGGAGGGGGGGGGGGGAGGGGGAATATTGAGGTGTGTCATGAAGGGGGGAGGGGAAGGTTGGGGGGGTTTCCTCCCCCCCCAAAACCTAATAGAGGGGTCTCTGGGTTAGGTCATTTATTGCAGCCACAATCAGATCCTTGATGTCAGTAATGATGGAGCCTCTTTGGTTGCTATGGGTAACAGCTACCCCTCCCCTCCAGTCACTCAAAGCCAATCGTGAGCTGTGATTGGTTGCTATGGGTTACAATACAAACACGTGTCCCCCCGAGTTCCTCTCACCTGCTTCCGGGCCCCTCCGCGATCACTATGGGATTTCCCGGCCCCGCCCTAACGAATCCCGCCCCCTCCGCAGTCCCCATTGGCTGAATCAGACGTCAGTCTAAGAATTGTACGTACTGATTGATTGGCTGCTGCGGATTAGAGTGTAGAAGTAGAAACGGTTCCGGCTCTCTCAGTGCTATATCCCGGAAGTGGAGAGAGGAAGTATAGAAGGGTCACACGGCCACTTCCTGTCATCCTCGCTGTGATAGGCCGGACGCTCCGGAAGTCCGCACAGAAACTTGAGGCCACGTACGTAAGAGGCAGCCAGCGCCATTCCTCATCACTTCCGGCTCACAGGCTCATGGTGACACCATCTGCAGCTTTCATTTCAGATGTAGAGTAGGAAAGGGTGATATCCTGTCTGTGTCCCCGGTAGGAGGAATGCCCCTCACTTCCTGAACTGCAGACTAAACAGGAAGTGATGGAATTCCTCTCTTGGGTGTCCCCAGTGGAAGATTTCCCACCACTTCCTGTCTGGGTGACACCAGGACACCCAGAGCGGGTTGAATGTCACAACAACAAACACTCAGCAGGGGGCGGAAACCCTTTCCCCTCATCCAATCAGAGGTGCACTCCACGTATATTGGGGGGGCGTCGGTATCTCTGGCACAAGAAGTGGGTCCCAGCCATCCGGGACTGGAAGAGCCGCACCCCCCCTGGTTGTCATGGTGATCCCTTTTGCTTGTCATTTCCTGTACAGGGAGGAGGAACTCTAACCATTGTCCATCACTTGCCGCATGCTTGTTCCAGGATTGGGGGGGAGGGGTCATCTCCGTCTTCACACATGGAGGGCGGGGTCTTATCTATAGCTGGGGGAAAAGTGAAGTGACCCCCTCCCCGCTACCATCCCAATCAGAGGTGTCCCCTCAGGGGAGATTCACCCTCAATGTGTTGTGGTGTCACCAAGACAGGAAGTGGTGAGGAACCCAACATGAGCATTGTCACCGGAACAGGAAACCTGCTGGGGACAGCCGTTCAATTAAGGGGGGCGGGGGGGTGTCCTTCACTTCCTGTTTTGTCTACAGTACAGGAAGTGAAATCTCTTCTGGGTGACAACTAAGAGCGGATTTCCAGCCACTTCCTGTTGTGTCATTAGGGACGGAAGTGAGGGGGAAATCTTAATGGGGACAACTGAGAATAAATTTCCCCCACTTCCTGTTGTGGCATTAGGGGCAGGAAGTGAAGGGGAAATCTAACGGGGGACACCTGCGCATAAGTTTCCTCCACTTCTTGTGTCATTTGGGACAGGAAGTGAAGGGGAAAATCTAATGGGACAGCAGAATACATTTCCTCCCACTTCCTGTTGTGTCATTTGGGACAGGAAGTGGGATGTCCCACCTCCGATAGGTAAAACCCACCCCCAACTACTAAAAATCTTGGCTGGAGATCTCCTTTAATTGGTAGCATCAGCTAAAGGTATGGTCACATGACTGGTTCATCACTCGGGGAGGAGCTTGTGGAGTAATGGTCCCTCTATGGAGGTATGCTCCACCTACAGCCACTGGGCTCAGTAATGGTCCCTCTATATTGAGGAGTCTGGCGCCACCTACAGCGCGGGCTCAGTAATGGTCCCTCTATAACAGCGGTTCTCAACCTGGGGGTCGGGGCCCCTTTGGGGGTCGAACGACCATTTCCCAGGGGTCGCCTAAGACCATCAGAAAACACATATTTCCGATGGTTTTAGGACCCGAGACACCGCTCCTCCGTCTCCGGCGATGTGTGGGCGGGATGATACGCTGCTCCTGTCACCTGGCCAACCTTCGGGATCGCTCAGCAGCTCCGCCTCCTCGCCGCTGATTGGCCACTGGAACTGTAGCTCAGGAGAGGCACACAGGCGGCCAATCACCGGCAAGGAGGTGGAGCTTGGAGAGGAGGAGCCAAGCCTGGCAGCGCGCGTACATCAAAGAAGATCGAGGGAGCTGCCGGAGCGAGTGAAGAGGAGAGAGGCCAGAGAAGGAAGACAGCTGAGACAGGTAAGTGAGAGAGCGAGCCCAGGCTGGAGCAGGGGTCAGCAAGGTAAGTATCATTGGTGTCAGTGGGAGGAATAGTGCCCCATCATTTGTGTCACTAAATCATTCCTCCTAATACCACACCAATGGGACACTATTCCTCACTGACTCTTACCAATGATGGGACACTATTCCTCCCACTGACACCAATGATGGGGCACTATTCCCCCACTGACACCAATGATGGGGCGTTATTCCTCCACTGACACCAATGATGGGCCACTATTCCTCCCCCACTGACACCAATGATGGGAAACGTTATTCCTCCCACTGACACAATGATGGGACACTATTCCTCCCCACTGACACCAGTGATGGGGCCACTATTCCTCCCCACTGACACATGATGGGGCCACTATTCCTCCCACTGACACCAGTGATGGGCACACCACTACTATTTCCCCCACTGACACCAATGATGGGGGCACTATTCCTCCCACTGACACCAATGATTGGGGCACTATTCCTCCCACTGACAAACCATTACAGTTTATGAAGTAGACAACGAATGAATGGAGCCTATTTTATGGTCACCAACGATGGGGGTCACCACACTGTCACATGAGGGACCATGTTTTTCCCCCCCCAAGATGGGTCGAGCGCGGGTCCCCCCCCTAGAAAGGTCCCCCCCCCCCCACTGATTCCTTATGAGTGGAGCACTATTTTTTTTTACTCCCCCACCTACACCAACGATGGGGATCACTATTTCCCCCCCCTCCTATAATGAGGTGACTGAAAAGTAAGCCCCTGCCCACTGACAACCTGATGGGGCACGATTGTTTGACACAAATGATAACTTTTCCTCCCACAGACTACCGTTGATTGACACCAATGTTAAGCACCCTCCAACGGGTCTACGTTGATTGCGAGTGATTCCCCCTCCCACGGCACTATTCCTACTACGTAGCGGATTGAAGAAGTCACGAAAATAATTTTATGGTTTCCCACCCCACTGTTATTAGGGGTCGCAGGGCATTAGTAACGTGAGGTAACCATTGAAGTAAGCCCCTCCCCGGTCTGACGTTGCCCTATAATGAGTGGAAGTTAGCCCCTCCCAGTCGGTTGATTGGAGCGAAGATCGCACTTGATTGAAGTGACCCTCCTATTAAATCGTTTTAGGTCACAGTCTTGAGGATCGATAGTTAAGTCCAACAGTCTATGAGGGCCCCTCCATATGTTATTAGTAAGCCCACTCCCACGGTCTGGAGGATCCACGAGACAGGGAAGAGGTCGAGGGGCCTCAATTGGGGCAAACTGTCCATCCAATGAACAGGGGGCGGGGAAAATGAGAGCAATAAAGAGAGCTAGTGAGCATAAACGAGAAAAGATTCATCTTTACTGGTGGGAGTGTGACATCATACAAACACAAAAATAATTACAGTCTGGCCCCTCCCCCCCATCCATGGCAGGCAAGTGGTCTACGCCTGGACTCGAGCTCCGCCCTGTTATGGTTCAAATTTACAAAGTTTCGGTCATCAGTGACCCGGCTTCTCTCCGGATACAAAACAAACTCCGCCACAACAAAAAATAACAAAAGAGCAACGACACACAATGCAGGAGAGGATTCTACAATTCAGAGAGGTCACCCCAATATACAAATACAGAGGGGTCACCCCAATATACAGAGAGGACCCCACAATATACACACCCCAATATACACATACAGAGGGGATCACCCCAATATACAGAGAGGTCACCCCAATATACAAATACAGAGGGATCACCCCAATATACACATACAGAGGGGATCACCCAATATACAGAGAGGTCACCCCAATATACAACATACAGAGGGGATCACCCCAATATACAGAGTCACCCCAATATACACATACAGAGGGGTCACCCCCCAATATACAGAGAGGTCACCCCAATATACACATACAGAGGGGATCACCCCAATATACAGAGGTCACACCCAATATACAAATACAGAGGGATCACCCAATATACAAGATCACCCAATATACCCAGAGGTCACATCCCAATATACACATACAGAGGGATCACCCCAAATATACAGAGGTCACCCCAATATACCATACAGAGGATCACCCCAATATACACATACAGAGGGGATCACCCCAATATACAGAGAGGTCACCCCAATATATACAGAGGGTCAACCCAATACTACAGTCACCCCAATATACACATACAGAGGGGATCACCCCAATATACAGAGGTCACCCAATATACACATACAGAGGGGATCACCCCAATATACAGAGGTCACCCCAATATACAGAGGTCACCCCAATATACAAATACAGAGGGGTCACCCCAATATACAGAGAGGTCACCCAATATACACATACAGAGGGGATCACCCACTATATACACATACACAGAGGTCACACCCAATATACACATACAAAGGTCACCCCAATATACACATACAAAGGTCACCCCACATACAGAGGGGGGTCACCCCAATATACAAATACAGAGGTCACCCCAATATACACATACAGAGGTCACCCCAATATACAGAGGTCACCCCAATATACAGAGGTCACCCCAATATACAGAGGTCACCCCAATCAATGACTACAGAAAAGGTCACTGTCACCCCAACACAGATGAAAGATACAATACAGAGAGCGGCACCCCAACAAACAGCCTGGGTAGTGTAACGCCGCGGCAGACTGACAACAGAGAGGAGGAGATTCAGGCGGCGCACTGGTTGGCGGCCATGTTGGATGACAGCGCGGATACGATTGTAGGTGGAGCAGTGGTGACTCCGCCCCATTCTAACAGTCAGAGGGGTCTCCGAGGGGGGGGGCGGCACACGGAGTTGGATGCAGTCCTGACAGCTGTACGGAGCTCCCCCTGGAGGCGGGGGAGGACATGGAGGATGCACAGTATAAATAGGAGGAGAAGGTGCATGCAGTCATCAGCAGGACGGGGTCCAGGGGGCGGGGTTAGAGCTTCTTGGTGTAAGGGAGTGGGCCGGCGGAAAAGAGCAGGATGTGCGGCTCTGCGGGGAGAAGACAAAGAGATCAGAACACAGACAATACAGGGGACAATACAGGGGCCCCAACAAAACACCAGAGTACAGGGGCCCCAACAAAACAGAGTACAGGGGCCCCAACAAAAACAGAGTACAGGGGCCCCAACAATTGGCAGCCCCAAGGGGGAACCCAGCAATGACAACCTAGGCGTTTACAGGGGTCACTGCTATGAAAGCACAGATTGGTCCATGGGGGGCCCAGCAATGGCAGCCCTAGAGGTCTATGGGGGCCCCAGCAATGGCAGCCTAGAGGTCTATGGGCGGCCCCAGCAATGGCAGCTAGACGGTCTATGGGGCGCTCCCAGCAATGGCAAGCCTAGAGTGGTCTTATGGGGGGGCCCCCAGCAATGGCAGCCTAGAGGTCTATGGGGGCCCAGCAATGGCAGCCTAGAGGTCTATGGGGGCCCCAGCAATGGCAGCCTAGAGGTCCATAGGGGGCCCCAGCAAATGGCCTAGAGGTCTATGGGGGGCCCCAGCAATGGCAGCCTAGAGGTCTATGGGGGCCCCAGCAATGGCAGCCTAGAGGTCTATGGGGGGCAGCCCTAGAGCAATGGCAGCCTAGAGGTCTATGGGGGCCCCAGCAATGGTCAACCACTTCCTTGAGGCCAGGTCATCCCAGACGAGCCCCCAACCTGTGTGACTGGACAGCGAATGGAGAAGCAGCGCAGCAATGAGCTCACCTCTCTCTGCTCTCTCCTCCTATCAGCATATGAACGGATTGGCTCCTTGTGCTGCTTCTCCCTCCCCCCAGTCTGAGCTCTGCTGTAGAAGCTGATATCAGGCATTTTACACTCGGGGGAGTTTGTGCCGTTTGGTGCCCCCCCCCCAGAAGAAGCAGAACAGCACAATATGTGAATACAGCACGGCTGGTATGGAGTGACGCACCAATGATTACAGAGCTGCACTCGGGGCGGAGTCCAGGTCTGTGAGGGGGGGGGGGCGGAGTCCAGGTCTGTGAGGGTTGGGGGGCGGAGTCCAGGTCTGTGAGGGTTGGGGGGCGGAGTCCAGGTCTGTGAGGGTTGGGGGGCGGAGTCCAGGTCTGTGAGGGGGGGGGCGGGAGTCCAGGTCTGTGAGGGGGGGGGGGCGGAGTCCAGGTCTGTGAGGGGGGGGGCGGAGTTCCAGGTCTGTGAGGGGGGGGGGCGGAGTCCAGGTCTGTGTGAGGGGGGGGGAGCGGAGTCCAGGTCTGTGAGGGGGGGGGGCGCGGAGTCCAGGTCTGTGAGGGGGGGGGGCGGAGTCCAGGTCTGTGAGGGGGGGGCGGAGTCCAGGTCTGTGAGGGGGGGGGGCGGAGGTCCAGGTCTGTGAGGGGGGGGGGGCGGAGTCCAGGTCTGTGAGGGGGGGGGGCGGAGTCCAGGTCTGTGAGGGGGGGGGGCAGAGTCCAGGTCAGTGTCTGTGAGGGGGGGGGGCGGAGTCCAGGTCTGTGAGGGGGGGGGGGGGGCAGAGTCCAGGTCTGTGAGGGGGGGGGGGCGGAGTCCAGGTCTGTGAGGGGGGGGGCAGAGTCCAGGTCTGTGAGGGGGGGGGGGGCGGAGTCCAGGTCTGTGAGGGGGGGGGCGGAGTCCAAGTCTGTGTGAGGGGGGGGGCGGAGTCCAGGTCTGTGAGGGGGGGGGCGGAGTCCAGGTCTGTGAGGGGGGGGCGGAGTCCAGGTCTGTGAGGGGGGGCGGAGTCCAGGTCTGTGAGGGGGGGCGGAGTCCAGGTCTGTGAGGGGGGGGGCGGGAGTCCAGGTCTGTGAGGGGGGGCGGAGTCCAGGTCTGTGAGGGGGGGCGGAGTCCAGGTCTGTGAGGGGGGGCGGAGTCCAGGTCTGTGAGGGGGGGCGGAGTCCAGGTCTGTGAGGGGGGGCGGAGTCCAGGTCTGTGAGGGGGGGCGGAGTCCAGGTCTGTGAGGGGGGGGGGGGGCGGAGGCACTACTTTCCTCCGCTGCGACAGAGCTCTGCAGGGGGAGGGCAGGACTGGCATCTCTACTAACAGGAGTATTCCAAAACAGTGAGGGGGTGGGGGGGTATACAGGAGGGACACTGTGGAGGGGATGGGGGGGGGGGGTTTACACCGTGCGGGGGGGGGGTTATACAGGGGGACACCGTGCGGGGGGGGGGGGGTTATACAGGAGGACAGACCGTGGGGGGGGGGGGGGGGGGGGGGGGGGGGGACAACGGCGATGGGCCTGGGGGGTCGGGGTGGGGGCGCTACGAGGAGGACACCGTGCGGCGGGGGAAGTGGGGGGGGTATACGAAGGGGGGACACTGTGGGGGGGGATGGGGGGGGAGGTGGGTCGGGACTAACCCTGGCTCGTGGATCATGTAGTGCACCCAGCCCTGGCTCTGCTGCACCCGAGGTTCCTCCATTCCGTCTCGGACATCAGGTGGGTCTTCGGTACCAGTTTGGCGATGTCCTTCGGTAACATGGACGTGCCTGAGAGACGGGAGGGGAAACATCCAATCAGCATCATCCTGCCGTGTGGCCGGTGCTCAGCAACAGGTTTCACGCTAATGTCGGTGGTCCCATATACTCGATGTCCTCCCCCCTGGGAAACGGGGTCACCCCATGTACTCTCCCCCCCCCACATCAGGGGTCACCCCCATGTACTCTCCCCCCCCCACATCAGGGGTCACCCCCATGTACTCTTCCCCCCCCCCACATCAGGGGTCACCCCCATGTACTCTCTCCCCCCCCCCCCACATCAGGGGTCACCCCCATGTACTCTCTCCCCCATCAGGGGTCCCCCATGTACTCTCTCCCCCCCCCCCCCCATCAGGGGTCACCCCCATGTACTCTCCTCCCCCCCCACATCAGGGGTCCACCCCCATGTACTCTCCCCCCCCCACATCAGGGGTCACCCCCATGTACTCTTCCCCCCCCATCAGGGGTCACCCCCATGTAC